TATTACATTTTAAAAATATTAATTTTTTAAAAACTATTCTTAGACTATTTTTAGAACATCAATTGTTATAATTATATTGGGAGAAACTACATACAAATTACTAAACTACATACAAATTACTAACACATGAGGAGATGTGTTAGTAATTTTTTTCCCTTCTCCCACATTTGTGTAGTTCTTCTATTATATTTTTTTTTGTATATTAATGTTAATAAATTGGAATAGCAGAATAAAATAAGAAATTCATGTTATTTTAGTTCTCAATTTTTGAAAATAAACTAATATTTTGGGACAATGAAAAATGAAATAAAAAAAAACTAATTTCATAAAAATAAATACCAAAAAAATTTTAAATTAAAAAAATTATTTCCAACTTTCCAAAAGATAAAATTATGTAAAAATAATAAGGGTCTGTTTAGTAACCATTTCATTTTCAGTCTATATTTACAAAAATTTTAAAAACTGTCATAAAAATTTGTTTGATAATTTTTTTGGTTTATAAATGATTGTCTCAGTTTATAAATTTGAGGAAAAAACGTAAACTCAAAAAATGAGTTTACGTTTTCAGTTTTCAATTATTTTTTTGCAAATAATTATTTTTTTTCAATTATTTTTTTTTCAATTAATTTTTTTTCAATTAATTATTTTTTCAATTTTTTTTTCAAATATTTTTTTTTCTATTATTTTTTTCAATTAATTATTTTTCAAATAATTTTTTTTAAATTAATTTTTTGTCATTTTTTTTTTCAAATAATTTTATTTTCAATTATTTTTTAATTATTTTTTTTTCAATTATAATGTGTGTGATCCCATTGTCATAAATAATAAAAGTAAATATAAATATTTTAGGCCTGAACAAACATATTTTTTAGTTTATGTTTTTAAATTTTTTTAAATATTTTGTTCAAACCAAGCGCGTTTGTAATTTATGTTTTTCTAAAAATAAACAAAAACCAGTTTATAAAATTTTTGTAAACATAAACCAAAAACGTAAACGTTACCTAAGTGTTTTTAATTTTTTGTTATTTCTTTCACCAAATTAATTTTTTATTTTTTAGAAAAAAAATTTGAAACAAGATTTTGAAAATCAAGCTAAACACGTCAATGACTTTTTTAGTTAAATTTAGGACAAATTAAAAATTGACATATAATTTAGGAAAAAGATTGGTAGCTCGAAAAATGGCTCGAATTCGAAGACAGAGACAGAGAGAAAGGAGAAAAGAGGAAGAGAGAAGAGACGAAGAAGAGAGGAAGAAGAGAGGAGAAGAGAAAGATGAGGAGAGAAGGAGAAAGAGAGAGGAGGAGAAGAGATCACCGCCGCCGCCGCCGGTCGTCGCAGCACCAGCGATCGTCGCAGCACCACCGCCGTCTCCTCCGGCCCCGCCTCCGCCTCCACCTCCTCCTCCCCCTGTGAATATGCCCCCTCATAAATATAAATATTTTAGGCCTGAACAAATATATTTTTTAGTTTATGTTTTTAAAAATTTTTAAATATTGTGTTCAAACCAAACGCGTTTGTAATTTATGTTTTTCTAAAAATAAACAAAAACCAGTTTATAAAATTTTTGTAAACATAAATAAAAAACGTAAACGTTACCTAAGTGTTTTTAATTTTTTGTTATTTCTTTCACCAAATTAATTTTTTATTTTTTAGAAAAAAAATCTGAAACAAGTTTTTGAAAATCAAGCTAAACAAGTCAATGACTTTTTTAGTTAAATTTAGGACAAATTAAAAATTGACATATAATTTATCATGTCATTTTAGGTAAAATTGTAGGACTTAAATTATGGATGTCTACCAATTTTCTTAATAAAAATAACGGTAATTTACAAATATACCTCTTGATGTTTGGTTAAAGTACGAATTGTCCCTTGTGGTTCTAGAATTTACATCATGCCTCTTGAAATTTCTAATTTCATAACAAATGACCCGTTCTATAAATAATTATTAAGCCAATTAACAGTTTTTAATGATATCATAAGTATATTTTAATTAATAATTCAAGTCATTTATCATTATATAGAAGAGCAGCTTTGGAATTTTATTTTTTTAATTAATTCTGTTAAATAAAAAATTCTTACAATAGTAGTATTTATAATTTTTCAAATCACATGAGACAATTCGTATTTTAAGTATACCTCAGGAAATGTATTTGTAATTTATCCTAAACGTAAACATAGACTTTATATCTTTTGAAAATAGGGAAAAATTTGTAGAAAAATATAAATAAGAGAAAATTACAACCAAAAGAAAATGGAATAAGAATAAACAATTGTCAAAGAATTGTCAAAGATGTAGGGATCTAAAGTATTAGCACTTGACATGAAATTTTTTTTTAAAAAATAAAAAATAAAAAGTATTGTTACAATTACACTATTACCCTTAGGATCTGTACTTATTCCTCATCTTTTATCCCTCTTCCACACCTTCTATAAATCCTATTTCGATGCCGGCCAATCCTTTCGGTACCAACATCCCCTTCCATACCTTTTCCATCATTGCTAATCAATCCCCTAGTTTTCTCTAGCTCTCTTTCTCACTCTTCTCTCTTCTTCCCCATCTCCTCACTTTCTATAAACCCTAATTCATCATCGGCTAACGCTGGCATTTCCTTTCCTACATTTCCTACCATCACAAACCACTTCCTTAGCCTGTTCCACGTTTCTCTCACCTATGTCTTCTCTATTTTCTCTCTTCTTCTCTCTCCCTCTACACCCTTTGAAAACTAGAATATCTAACACTAGCACGCCCTTCTCCTACCTCCTCCCACTACATCCAACAACTCTCCAACCTCTTTCACATTTTCCCTTTCCCTCATTCTTTTCTCTCTTCCTCTCTATTTCTACCCTTGCAAATCCACTATTATATTTGTTTTTATTGCCACAATTTTAATTAGGTGAATATGTGGCTATGGAGTACATTAATTTTTAAGACCATATTAATAACTTTGTAGCATCTTATGGTCATATTATATATAGTGAATCTTGATTCTTTAATTTTAAATATATTTGAAAATTTATATTTCAACAGTAATGATAGAGACTCCCACAAAAAACAACCTCCACAACCTCCAAGATGATTTGGAGCATTCATGTCACTGTTAGAGAAAGAGAAAAAAATTTAAACACATCAATAGTCAATACATCAGTGGGGAGTCGTGGAAGTCCTTCTTTGTCGGGGTCTCAAACATTTTCCATATTTCAACAAGGAATAATGAGTAATACTATAATCTCAAAAAATTTATCACAAAATTTACCAAGAATAACAATCTATGGCTCAAATTTATTTCATATTTAGATCTTACACTATAATAATTCAATTCTCACCATGCAAATATATTACCCAAAAAAATTTGGTTAAATTTGTTTGGGATAGAATCATTTTTGAGGAACAATTTGTTTTTCGCTCCACGTTTCATATCTTGAAAAAAAAAATGATAACTCTCATTTGCTATAGGGCTCGTTTGGGAAATGAGGATTTGGGCTTGTTTTGGCTAAAATAGTCATAAAAAAAACAAAATAAACTTTTTAGCTTAATAAAACAAAATATCACATCAAACCCAACTCATAATCATTACATTATTTCTCTCACAAAAAAGCTAAAAAAAAAATCAAAAGTCCTTCCCAAACGAGATTTTTTAGCCCCAAACTAAAATAAAAGCCAGCCCACTTTTCAAACGAACCCTTACTTGGGTTTCGTGTATTTCGTGACTATCATCAAAAATTACATTTTAGATGGATGGTAAAAAAATAATTTTATTTTTAGCGCAAATAATGTTTAGTACAAGTCTTTCATATAAGTTAAATTTATACTAAAAAAATTTCACTCATAGTACAATTATTTTAAGACTGAGATGAAATGTTATTTCTCCACAATTGTTGGGTTGGTTTCAATATCGAACCATGATATCTTTGTTTTTATATAATATGATGGGCTAAGCCTACATAAAGAGGCCCATTACGCTATTCTTAGATGTACAATACGTAACACACATTATCATCTCGAAAATTATAAATAAATAAATAGATCTTATAATTTGATTTTTATAACAAAATAAGCATAATTTTTTTTTGAATTTGTTTCAATATAAATTATTTGTCTATTTTCGTTAATTAAAATCGATGAAAAAAATATATATTTTTGTCATTAAACTTAATGAAAATATGTATTTCACACATTTTGTGTACCTCTATATTAAGTTTAATGGTTAAAATATATATATATATATATATATTTTGTCAGTTTTATTTAATAAAAATAGACAAATTGTTTAAATTAAAAATAAATTAAAAGATTAATCCTTAAATTGATAAAATTTAAAACTTATGATTTATTTGGTTAAAAGAGTCAAACTCTATAGAATATAATTTTCTCAATTTTCTTTTATTTCTTTCCTCTTATTTTATTGAGGCAGGATGAAAGGTTCACTCCATCCTCTCACAGTTTTAGGACAACAATTACACATTCCCCACAATCACAATTCAGTGTACATTTAAAAATAAAATAAAATAAATCCAATAAGTGGTAAATTATACAAATTTTAATAATTAAAATTATAAATTTTTTGATTATTTCTAACTATTCTGTGAAGACACCACTAATTTACAATTTCTCTTTTATTTTAATACATTGTATTTTACATTATTATACATTGTTTTAAAATTTCAACTAATTATATTAGTCATTTCTTGTTTTACTATTTAAAAGTAATATTATTACATTTTTTTTCTTTAACAGTTTAAGTCATTGTCCCCCATATAAAGTCCCTGTTGTAAAGATGATCAATGTAAAAATTCAACTTGATCAAATATCAATATTTACATGATGTGATCAAATTTATCTTCACAACAAAGTGTCCATGCTTTTTAAAACAAATATATTCCGATGACATAATCACCGATATCAAAAAATCTAAATTTTTATATAAATTATCTTTCAAGTTCCTTTTGTTTATCATTGATTACAATTCTCTACTATTTTTAATAGCATGATAGCCACATCTTTCAAGAGCAGAATGTCCCCATTTTGGGTTTTTAAATCTTGATTAGAAATACAACACAAATACAATCTTCTGGAAATCAATTCCATGAAAAATGAATGGTACATAACAACAACGATTGCACAAGCAAACCTCCAGCAGGAAAAGAAAGAAAGAAAAAGAAAAAAAAATGCAACCTAGCTTTTTTACTAAGCATCACCAACACCAGGCAGACGAGTGGAGCCTATGACTCGTAAAACCCTAGTTTTCATGCTTAAAACACCTTCCCATCATATTTGTTTGCCCTCGGGACTCATCAAGCCATACACCTCATGCCCGGAATAAAAGAACTTGGTTGTAAGCACACATCGACCATCCAGACAATAAACTGCTCCATTTTAGCTCTCCTAGCAGATGACCCTATTGCATAAAACTTTAAGGAAAAATTTCAATCCAATGTAAGCTTTTAAAAAACATTACAGATAAATAATAAACTTTATACACATCAATAATTAATGTCAATACTTTTTCATAATTTTGTAATAATTTTCTGATAGTACCACTGATAGGTTATTTCCCCAAAATTTAATAGTGAATGTCAAAAAGAGTTGTAGTTCAAATTGGTTAAATACCAAAAATAAAAATTTGTATTGAGTTTGTCGTATGATGATTCCATGATGGGGTAAGGACTACCACATACCATTTACTCAGTTCATACATCACATAATTTGAGTTTTTTGAGTTTTTTGAATTTTTCTTTTTTCAATTCACACCATCAATTTTCAAATAATACCAAAATATCCTCAAATTCTAACTTTCAAACCCTTACCCTAATAACCGCCGGGCAAGAGTTATTTGTTTCAGAGAATAGGTTTTTGGGTTTTGTCCAAAAGAGTAATTTGATTACCAAAATGCCCTCAAATTCTAACTTTCAAACCCTTACCCTAATCACCGCTGGTCGAGAGTTATTTGTTTCAGAGATTAGGTTTTTGGGTTTTGTCCAAAAGAGAAATTTGTGTGAGGGACAATTGCCTGAAATTCTCCAACTTTCAAACCCCTACTCTAATCACTGCTGGCCGAGAGTAATTTGTTTGAGAGGTTAGGTTTTTGGGTTTTGTCCAAAAGAGTAATTAATGTGAGGGACAAAATTGTAATTAAAAAATAAAAAATGATGTGCACTGTGGTTTCACGCAAACCCAATTTTCCAATGCTAATAATAATTAAAATAATTCCAGAGAACTACAGTGGATAAACAATTCTATATTAAGATCAAAGAACAATACCAGACAAATTGTCTACTGGCGAGGCTCCACAAGGACATATAGTGGTGTTCCATTCAGGCCGCTCTGTCCCTGCAAAAGATGCAAGAACTGAATTCAGTGTCAAACTGTCAAAAAACAGAAAAATATGCAAAATCTGTTCAGAAAGAACATTCAAAAATTGATCACTACAGTACCTAATAACAGTAAAAGGGTTAGAAGCTAGATTAGATTATAGCAATAGTAATTCAATTAGGAACCACAATCAAGTGCCTCAACATGCAACGGAATAACATTGCATGACAAACATTAAGTACTACATAAAACAATAAAAAGGTTCTATCTTTTTGAAATGTGGTAAATTAAAAATAAATATATAAAAAAAAAAAGGCAAATTTATTTCCCAATTAACTTACACCTAACAGTAAATAAAATTTTAAAAAATAATACAATATTTATGAGGACTGGAGAGGGCTGATTATAAACATGCTCATTAACTTCCTGGGATGTAAGGTATTCACATTAAGGCCAAGTTTAGCAACTCTCAAAAAAGACAAAAAGTTAAAAAATTATCACTATTCACCAAAAAAAAAAATTTTAATATATATAATGTTAAATACAAATCAGCCGACGCACGGCAGCCTATGTAAAGACATCAAAGCATAGGAGTGAAAGGAAAAAAAAATTTATTACATGTGTATATTCTTAAATTGGATGGTAAAGTTGGGCCCATGGGGGCCCTCCATGGATTCCATTTTTCTAATCAAAACTGTTCAATGTGTAGAACTCGTTGAGTACTATATGTTTGTAAAAAATCACTTCTATCGGATATCGCTAACTACATGATCAAATCAGTTTTGTATAAAAAATGGATGGTGTTATAGTTAACATGTGACAAAAAAAACAAACACAATCAGATAGTTATCGATATCCAATGAACGTGATTTTTTACAAGAATATAGTACTCGACGAGTTCTACACATTAACGGTTCCGATTAGAAAAACAGGACCCGTGGTAGGCCCCCACAGGCCGAACAACACCGTCCAATCAAAGGCCAAAAAGTAGGCAATCTTTTCCCATATCCTTTTCAGCCGACGCACTGCCCAACCGTACGGATTAATTAATTATCTTCTTCTACACACTTAACTATACAATATTTTAATACACATTTTTTCATAAAAAGTCAAAAAGTTAACCCAAACATCCATATTTTTTCCCTCAACTTTTTAGTTCAAAAAGACAAAAAGTACACTTATTTAGGACACTCCAAACAAATACCAAAAGGTCAATAATTTATCCCAAAAAAAAAAAAAAAAATACCAAAAGGTCAATAGGAACATACAAGTTTAAACCAATAGGCGTATTCTAATCTTCTTTTTGCAGAAGATAGTCCAGTTTCTTCAAAGGCAAACAACTTCAGATTAATCTAGATAATCCTTGATCAATTTTGATAAGAGCTGTGCAGGCCTTGTGATTGTCTATTTTGACATAATTTGCCTAAAATTTGGAAAATCTTGAATGAAGATTTGGAAATTCTAACAAGATTTCTAGTCAAATATTTACAAGAATTGATTACCATTGATATAGGCACTGGTACTCAACTTCCAAAACTTGTGAAGTCAAATTTACTAACTAGACTTGAAGATTAATATCTTATTAAGCCTTCATCATCAACCATGTTTGTACATTCCACTAACAATTCCAGTCAGGCCAAAAAGGCTTCCTGGTCATTGTTAAGACAATACCCCTTCTTTTAAGCTTCCAAAACCAATTAGATTTATTCCACCATTCAACAGATGTAACATCAGAAGAACCAGCAAAAATATAGAGATGTGAGAAATTGACTTCTCAGAGAAATGCCGATGGATTTTATGCACAGCAACAGTGATATCTAAACGAGGCCAAGCTCACCCATCAACCAATTCTACTGTCAGTGGGTGAAGACAATGTAAAAACATCCTATCATCTAGCAAGAAGGGAGTGATTACAGTAGAATCATCTGTAAGTATTTGTTTCAAGATAAGCACACTCTTTAGTCAAACATTTTGTTCCACAACAATAGTGTAGTATAACAAAACTAATCCAAGTCTCAATGTTTGAAGTTCATCTATGACACAGAGGAAAATAAAATAAAGTATATAATGACAAACAAAATTTCAATAAATTTGATAATATAATAATTTTATTAAAGAAGCAGAAAAAAAAGAAGATTAATGTTGCAATAGCAGCATAAACTAGGTTTGATGATGTAACAAACAAGGGGAAATCATGCATAATTTATAAAGCATTACCTTTAACTCTGGCAACCCAATAACACATGCACATTCAACTACCACAGCCCCAACACGTTCTAGTTGATAACAATTCCAAGCACATTAGTTGTCGGCTAAAGAATTAAGGAAAGCGTTGAAATACACATACTGAACTGAGAAAGAAAAATCATGAAAGAAGCTCTAGAAGTTACCTAAAAGCCTTATGGCTGCAGATAGTGTCCCCCCTGTCGCCACTAAATCATCAATGACCAAAACACGTTCCCCAGGTTGAACAGCCCCAAGGTGCATCTCTAAACAATCAGTGCCATACTCGAGCTCATAGTCTTCGGAGATAACTTCCCCTATATATTGCAAAAAATTGACATTTTTACTTTAGATTCTATCAGGAAAAATTTAATTGTAGAAGGCAGGAACTAATAACAGTAACTAAATTCCAAACGCCACAATGCAGTTGAATGGTTATTGACAAAGAAGAATGAGAAAAGTTGAGACAGTTATCAAGAAACACGCTGCTACCAAACTTCAGTCACATATAGGTGCCTAAATACGAAATCCAATAAGGGCTTGTGTGGACATACCATGGAAGTTGAATTGCGATGTTCAAATGTCTTTAGCACAAATGGCATCCTAAAAAGTTCTTGGTCTCTTCCATGCATATAAATTCTTTCTGTTTCATTGACTGCTCAACCAACTTGGTTGCACTCTAGGATGTTCTTCCACAACCTCTTAGAACAATGCCAACGGTTAAATTGCCAAGCTCAGCAAGCTAACAACACTTGACGTTTCAATTTCAATGAACAAAAAATTAAAGTCTAAAAGCATGCCCAGCATAGGTGCCTAAATTCAAAGTCCACCAAGAGCATGTGTGGATATCACATTGAAGATGAATTGCTCTTTTCAAAGGCATTGGCACTAATAGCCCAACACAAAATAATTTCATCATCAATTAAGTTGCTAGTCTCTCTCTCTCCATCACACATGAATTCTGTATTGTGCTATTGGCTGATCAGTGGTCAACCAATTTCATTGGCTTATAGGAAAGATTGCAATGGTTGAGTAGCTAACTCATCAAAGCACTTAAGGTTTCAATTTAATAAAAAATAAAAATTTACCAAATTGAAGTTTAAAAAGCATACCTGGCAACTTTTTGGGTTTACGTAGAGGAACAAATTTTGCACCAATTGCCAACGCAATTGAAGGGCCAAACATAAATCCTCTAGCTTCAACACCTAGAATGTAAATTTATGCAGAACATTAAAAATATATAGAAAGAACTAGTTTGGAGTTACAACAGAGTATTATCTGAACTAATATAATATTACATAAAAGGAAAAACTACTAAAAGAGTGAACTTGGCGAGTCAAACAGATCAGTTAGGTGACCAGTACAGTTATACTGGCATTTTTTTTCCTGTATTCCTAAATATAGTTTCATAAGAAAATAGATTATCAAGTATCTAAAATGCTTTTTAAGTAAAACTCAAGACAGAATTTTGTGGATTGATCCAAACTTGTCCTAAATGCCAAACAGTAATGACTTCTGCATGCACTTTTTATATGCTCTTTTTCTTGAAATTCTACTTTCAAAAATACTTCTCTATTTCTTCAGTTGATCCCACAAAAATAAAATGGTCAAGCTTTCCAATTTTGAATTTTTTTTTTTTTATATAAAAAAACATGAAATACTCTTGTGGAAAGTCATCATCAATTTGACATAAGCAATGTGTCCAACTCTAAATCTGTGATGTAGTTAAGATTTCTTTCTAGTCATGGCAAAGAGAAAAATAATACTTTAGTTTTTTTAAATATGGCCATAAGAGCATCTCCAACGGTAACTCAAATTTTTCACTAAATCTGAGTCAAAAATGACCCATTTCACCAAATTTGATACCACTCACTCCAACGGTTCACCTTTCACCAAATCTATCCCGGAACAACTGGGTGGTCGACCGGCCGGTTGACCGGTTAGGCAAAAAAATTTTTTTTTTTTTTTTTTTCGCGAATTGTCCGAACTTTTTTTTGAACTTTCTGAACTTTTTTCGGGCCGACCGGGTGGTCGACCGGCCGGTTGACCGGTTAGGCAAAAAAAAAATTATTTATTTATTTATTTATTGTTTGAACCTTTTCTTCAAACCGTTTGAACCTTTAGGCGGTCGACCGGTTGGTCAACCGGCCGGGCAACCGGCTGGTTGACCTGTGTACCTCTTTCAACGGTCAGTAACAGTGATTTGGTAGAATCTGTGTCTCGTTCTCAGTTTGATGCTTTTTTTGCTGAAATCTCATTTTGATATCAATCTGGTACAACGGTTGGAGCATAAAAAAGTGTCTTTTTTTGCTGAAATCTCATTTTGATATCAATCTGGTACAACGGTTGGAGCATAAAAAAGTGTCTTTTTCATCAAAATTTGAACCTGATACCAACTTTGATTCACCGTTAGAGATAGTCTAAGAACTTTACTGCAATAACATTTACTATGAACTTATAATGGGAAGATATTATTTGGGTAATAAAGTCCCGATAGAAGTGAAAATCATTATGCTGTACATATGATGAATTGTGTGAAACAGGTATAAGCTTTCATGCCATCTGAGCTGAGATAGGAACAACTTTAGGATTTTAAGAGATGAATTTAGGTTAAATACTTGTAATTAATTTGGTGATAACCCCAACTTTTGCTATGGCTTATATTCTTAATTTTTTTATAAAAAAAAATTACCTTCATTTTGTAGGAATAACTTATATTAGAATATGATAGGTATCTTGCTTATGAAATGTATGGAAAATAGAATATATGTATCTTCTAGGATGGCAAAGATGTCAACTTTAGTGATAATTCATATGTTTTGCCTAACAACCAGAGTTCAATGTCCCCTTCCATGCGAAATCTTCTATGTTTCAACCTTTGGAACTTTCACTTTCAACCAAAATCTCTTCACTATTATATAAAATTCTATCCAAAATTTAACAATCAAACAAATTACATTTTCTATCAGTCTTTGTATTTTAGGTAACAGGTAACAGAAATTGTAATTAAAAAGGACAAGTTGCAAAAGAAAAAAGGACAAGACATATTAGTCCAAATTGGTAGAGTATTACAAAATCTTGTTAAACTATACAAGCAATGAAAGAATCACAAAACACATAACAAACAAAGAGAAACCAACAAAGATAAACTTTGCCAACTCACGAGATTCACAAATCAACTCAACAAATCTTCCAAATCTAAAATAACCAAAATTTATTTAACAAGCTAACTGAGCCACACCTTTTTTTTTGTACAGATTACGGTAATAAATATAAAATGGGTTTTTGTTAATAAGTGGACACTTGATAAGAAGCTTAAAATAATTGTACATAATGCATAAGAATATGTGCAACATGTAATGTACAATCAATTTAAACATTGTTAACCAATGCCACCCATTAACCAAACCAATATAAAATATATATATTATATATAAGGATAATCAATAAGATGAACCCCTTCACCCTTTTTTCTATTTTCTTTTCTTTTTCTTTTTTTCTTCTTTTTTTTTTTTTATTTCTTTTCCTTTTTTTTTGTTTTGGGGGGGGGGGGGGGGAGGGGCAGGGGGGGAGGGGGGGAGGGGAAGGAGGGGAGGGAGAGAGGGGGGGTGGGGGGGGAGAGGAGTGGGGGCGGGGGGGGGGGGGCGCAAAGTGTTAGGATGAAATGTTCAAACTTGGGCTTTCATTGGAGGAGACTGAAAAAAATTCCACCTAGGGACAAGTAAGGAATAAGACTAATACAAGTCAAGGAGAGGAAGACTCAAGATTCTTAGACAACAAACAAGCCTTCAATCCCAAAAGTGGGTTTAATATGCCTCCTCTTTTTATAAATTTTTACCACGAAAATTGTCTAAAATTTGTAATAGGAAAAAAAAATTTGCCAAAAATTATTAATCTTAAAACAATATTCATGTAAATAGTTTCTTTTGTGGGTTCATAAATATGTTTATGAAATAGTTAAAAAGCTTTAAGGAAAATCAGAACCGATAAAATGAACAAATAAAGACACTAAAAATAAATAAATAAATAAACCCTGGCTCCAATTCAATAGGAAAATTCTATGATGCTGCAATATTCCCACACTAGCTTCCTACAAATAACCAGAGTACTAGTAAAAGTAAAAGAATTTAAAATCTCTCTGATTCTTACTCTTTCTCTCTCTGTAAAATCAAAGATATCAGCAAAATAAAAGAGAAAAATTAGTGAAACTTCCATCTCTCTAAAATTTATCTGTCAAATATTGAGGGCCCCAACTACTATATAAAAATATTTCATGTACTTTATTTTATCAAATCTTAATATCAGGACCTTAGACTAAAAATCCCAAAATAAAATCAAACAATTCAAAAATTGTGTGTGTGTGTGTGTGTGTGTGAGAGAGAGAGAGAGAGAGAGTGAGTACCAGCAACAACAGAGATGCCCATGTCTCTGTAACGATCCACAAAGATATCAACAGTGCCCTTGAACGCCTTGTGATCCAATAACAACGTTGTTATGTCCTGAAACATAATTCCTACATACACAAACACAGAGTCATACCCAAAAAAAAAAAAAAACCTGTTCGACGAAAGTCCTCAAATAAGATACATATAAAAATACACAAAACCCACAAAAAAGTACAACATCAACAGCTCAAATACCTCGTTTTGGGAAGTGAGGAACAACTCTTATTGCTTCTGTTATCGCCTTTAGCCTTGGGTCTCCTCGCAACCCATTCTCTGATGCAAACATCTCTTTCTCTCTCCTCTTTCCTCTCTCTCCAGTGGTTTTCTGTGCTTTCTTCCTCCCAAAACCCAGAACTTTCCTTCTATAGTTTATGTAGTTTCTCTCTCTAACCAAGTGAGAGACAGACAGACAGACAGAGAGTGTTAAATATTGTGTATATCTATAGTTGGCCGAAGCACCACTGAAGAAGAACAAGTGCTCAGTGCCATTATTTATACACATTTTTTTTTTAAGGAGTGGATCCCCCCCTGTCCTTGGTCTGGATTAGAGGGTGGTCTAATTTTGATTATTTGAATGTTTATTTTATTAAAAAAAATTAGGTATTAGGAATTATAAAAAAAATTAGGTTTTAAAAATATAATTACTTTATTTTTTTATTGTTAAACCTAACAAATTGAATAGGTTAATTTTGTTGTAATTAATATATACAAAATGTCTAATAAAATAAATTATTTAAATTATCAAAACCCAACTCATGATAAATCTCACAAGCCTGAACAGCGTCCTCCTATTCGGATTAAGGACGGAAAGAGCTCCAATCATATACTCCCTCCGTCTCAAAATATTAGTCCCTTATTCCATTTTTCATTGTCCCAAAATATTAGTCCCTCTTCAAAAATCAAGTACAAAAACTAGCATGCCCAAATATGGCCTCTCCCTCGCCTTTGAATCCCTAATTATCACGTATTTTAATCACGTGAAGAGTGCAAGGAAGTACAGAAAAGAAGAATGTAGGAGAGGAAGTAGATCCATCATATATATATATATATATATATAAGGCTCCATTTGGGATACATATTTGGACTAAAATAGTTATATATAACAAAATATGTTATTTTGGTTAAATATGACAAAATGTCACATCCAACATATAATCATTTCATTTTTTTTCTCACAAAAGTTAAAAAAATTAAAAAAACCTATGTCAAACGAGCCTTTTTAGCCTCAGGCTAAAATAACCAAAAAGCCTAACCCAAATCCCAAACAAACTCTAAATAGTGTTTTTCTCCTTATTTAGGTGACACATTCTAAATTTTTTTTTCCCCTAAAAAAAAGTCACGTCAGCATGCCATTCCATTTACATATACAACAATGATTTAGACCACTAAAAAATGCATCATTAATAGCACTAATGCATTGGGAATGGCAAAAAAAAAAAAAAAGCATAGAAAGTGGGCAGGGCCCACTGATACATCATTAGTGCTCTCCCTAGTGCTCCCTTTTTAGTGCTCCCAAGCATTTTTCTTACACATAAAGTTTTACACAAATTCAATTTCAATTTTAATAATCAATTTTATATAGATTCTATTTGAAAAATACTTATTTCCATATATATAGTTGATATTTTATTTTAATTATTATGATATTTGAAAAAATATATATCTCGATATACAAATAAATAAGACAGAATATGCTTAATTATGTATATTGCACATATCAAATTAATTAACTTATTTATTTTTATTCTTTGTCTATCTTATTAATCTCTTAATATTAATTTATATTTAATTTTTTATTTAATATGAAATTATTTATTACTAAATATTTATATTTAATTAAAATTTTATATACCTATATACAATATGTATGAATAATTCAAAAAGAATATTAAAGAAAAAGTCAATACTCTAAATAATGAATTTATGTATTTTCTTCTTAATCCAATCACAACATATTTATATTTAATTTTTTAAATAAATTTTGTGTAGTTCTATTTCTAGATATTTTTTATTTTCCAAATAAATATAAATATAAATATAAATAATTAAAATCACTTTTAATTTTATATTACTAATTCTCTTTCTAATTTAACTATTATTTTTAATATCAAAATAAGAGTTTATTTTATTATCTTATATTTTAATATATATCATATAAAATTATTATATGAGAATTACACTTTTATAGCATAATAGAACTAAAATTATCTAAACAAATAAATAATTAAATTAAATTTATTATATATAAGTATTCAAGTACCACTTTTATATAACGATAATGTTAAGATTATTAAAATTAATATTATTCTTTGTAACAAATATAATAATATAAAATATCATTTTGTTAAATTAAAGTTAACTCCATTGTGATTTTATAGCAGACATCATATTTTTAGAAATTATTTACATACACGTGTATCGTCCAATTTGATATTGATTGATCAAAATACTGTAACTCAATACTTTGTTTTTTTGGAGTTAAATTTTTAGAAAATAAATTGACAAATGTCAAATGATAAATAGTGTGGAGTAGTATCTAAAATAATAATGATTCATCGAAAATGATTATGTATATTTAAAGCACCTATTGATCTTTTTTGAATAATTGTTAAATAAAAAATTTTAATTTATAGTATTACTGATAATGCACCTTGATCAGCTCTGCCAAAAAAAATAGGCAAAATAATTTGCCTACAATAAAAAATTTACAGTTATCATAATATGTCACATAATTAATCAAAATTCTTTTAAGAATTGAAATTATGATTTGAACTTGTAATTTTTTATGCATAAAAATGAATAACTCTCACAATCTTACTGATATAAGCATAAATCTTATCTTTGAGTCAACCCATCCTAAGAACTTTTTCGTATAATAAAATACTTAAATGTTATCATATAAAAATATTATAATAGATCATAATCAAACAGTACTTGAAACTAATTAAAGATCCAATTCACGACTTTACACATAACAAAAAAAATAAGAAATTAGAAAACTTTTTCGATTAATAACTAAAATAATACGCCATAAGTTATGATCAAGTCATAATTTGTATATTATAAAAATTTTTGTTGTTGTCGTTTTTTTTTTTATTTTTATAAAGAAAACAAATTAGTTTGATACAAGTGAAATTCATGACTTTTGCTAAATTTGACTAACACAAATGAGAATTTGATTTCAGGTTGATAATATATATATTTTTATAACTTTGAAATAAATTGTTTTTATGAGCCTTTTATATAAAATCACATACAGTAATAAAAATTTCCATAAGTCATTAGCAAATCTGCTTGTATTTGACGTTCAATTATTAAAATTTTCTACACGTAAAGTATCAAGACTCAAAATCAATTTTCTATTTTAAAAATAAATTCTCATGCATTGATACGTAAAGTATCAATTTTCTATTTTATAGTAATTATATTTTTAATTATGATCTCGAGGAGATTCGAGTCTGTTTGGAGTAACATAATGGCTTCGTTTGGAATGTTGGTTATTTTTTGACCTTTTTAGTATGGGGTTAAAAATCTTCGTTTGGGATAAATTTTTTGATTTTTTGAATTTTGTAAGAAAAAAATGAAATGATTATAATTTAAATATGATATTTTTTAGCTTGAGACTAAAAAATTTATTTTTATCTTTTTATGACTATTTTAACCCCAATCTACCCCAACCCAACCCAACTTCCTAAACCAGTGCAATGTAAGTTAGAACCCCAAGGGATTGCCCCTAGTGGGTGCAACTAGGAGCCTAAGGGTGTGCCACGATCTCTCTCCGAGATTTGTTCCATTCATGTGAAGAAGGTGTTTTTGCATAAGTTTTGGGATTAGTCAAGGTGCGCTTAAGTCGGTCCAGACACCCGGTCATTAAAAAAAACATAATGTAATTTAGAAATTAATATTATAAATTGGAAATTCAATCATTTTTATCCAAGTTTTAGGTAGGTTTAGTTAAATTATTTATGTCTAATTGTAAATAAAAATTGCACCAAACTATTTAATACAAGCTTTGCTTATTTGAGTTATTAAGGCCTCGTTTTGGATGTTCTTGTTTTAATTTAAAAGTCAAAAAGTTATTAAAAAAATTAAAAAGCCTATAACTTATATTAAAAAGTCAAAGATTTCATTTTATCTCTACTTTCTGCACATGTATAAAAATTGAAAAATTCATTACAAACATATTATTAGTTTTTTTCTCTCATGTTTTATAGCTAAAAAGTTACTAAAATAGCATGTTTACAAACAAGGCCTAACACTCAAATAAGTCATACCAAACATATATATATTGTTTAAGTAATTTAAGACTGAATTGTAAAGAGAAAATTACACCACATAATTTAACACAAAATCTCAAAAAAAAATTGTAAAGAATTCATTTAAATTGACATTAATAGGCCTTTTTGTTGATTTTTTTTAAAAAAATTAAGGGACTTTTTTTTATAAAAAGATTTTTTTTAAAAAAAATTAAACTTTTAGAATCTACAGAACTAGATATAAATAAATAAATAAAAAGTCCACTAAAAATTATTATTAGTATTTATTTTTTTTGGCTTTGATGAACTTCTTTTGATTTTTTTTAAAACTTTTTCAATTCTTCGACACTAGATAAACTAAAAAAGTAAATAAAAAAAATGACACAAATTTTAAAAAAACACTAAAGATTAAAATAAATAAATAAATGATTTTTTTAACTGAGGAGTTGTTTGGAGTGTCCTAAATAAGTGCACTTTTTGAATTTTTAGACTAAAAAGTTGAGGAAAAAAATATGGTTATTTGGGATAATTTTTTGAAAAATTGTTTAAATTAGTATATAGGAGAAGATTATGATGGAATAGGCTGGACGGTAAGAGACAGCGTGTGCAGAGTGGGGGGAGATGGTTCCCTGCTTTTTTAGCAGTGAATTGAAGGTGTTGTTCGGCCCGTGGGGGCCTACAACGGGTCCCGTTTTACTAATCAAAACCGTTTGATGTGTAGAACTCGCCGAGTACTATATGCTTGTAAAACATCACGTTGATTGGATATCGATAGCTATATGATCGAATTAGTTTTTTTTTTCAACCGTTAACTATAACACCATCCATTTTATAAATTTTAACTGATTTGATTATATAGTTACTTATATCTGATCAACGTGATTTTTTACGGATATATAGTACTCGATGAGTTATACACATTGAACGGTCCAGATTATTAAAACGGGACCCGTGATGGCCCCCACGGGCCGAACAACACAGTATTATTTGTGCACCTAAATCAGTGCAATTTTTTCAAAACTCAACTGCGCCCGTAGGACGTCAGAGTTGTTTGAAAATTAATTTTTTAATATTTTTTTTGAATAATATTAATTTTTTAATTTTTTAAATAATTTTTTAACTTTTTAAATTATTTTAAGGATCTCAAACCCGTCCTCAATGCCAAACGATGCTTAAACAACCGTTTGTCTTGTTTTAATTATTGTTTTCATACGTCTGTT